TAGGGGTATTTTTGGAATCGGGGCGACGAGACAAGATGAATGGACCTGGTCCCGACCCAATCAGCCGCTTTTACAAGTTGGCCAGATCAGGATCTTCAAAAAAGGGGGTCGACCGACTAAAAAAATTTATTGCAGATTTCGATTGGTCTCAGCAAGACCTTTTCAACGAGGGGTCGGAAAGGGGGTCCAGGAGCCCGACTTCGTCTATTAGTCACATCAGGATCTTGAAAAAAGGAGGTCGACCGGCTGAAAATTTTTACTCGAGTTTTCGATAGGTCTTGGCAAGACCTCTTCGACGAGGGGTCGGAAGGGGGGTCCAGGAGCCCGCCTTTTTGGGAAAAAGTGCGACGGACTCGTTTTGCGCTCCTGCTGTGCCTCTATTGCAAGGAGTTGCAGTAGCATGGCAAATAGGGGTATTTTCGGAATGAGGGCGAAGAGACAAATGAAATGGGCATATTCTAAGGACAGTTGGAGTAAAAAATGTAAGGACTATTCCATATTGTAAATAGAAGGGCGGGCCTAAGTCACGATGCACAGTGGGCTGAGATCCGTAAAAACGACATTTAATACCATTTTTTCAAAATCGTTTTTTGGATTGGCTGTGAGTGAGTTAATGTTCAGAAAGGTCCACTCTTGAAGAAAATGGACATGCCAGCCCAAAAACCTAGCCGTATCACAGTGAAAAATTCCCGCGAAAACTTGGTTTTTTACGGTTACCGAGCTAGTGCCGCGGAGCACAAAAATTGCACATTCCCCAAACCCCTTTCCGACCAGGCAGGGCAAATTTTTTATCCCGGTTTTCGGCAGAATCTATTGTTTGGGTATGCAACTCGAGATGAAGACAGAATGTGGACTCATTTTGGCCTTGGTGGCGTAAGAAGACACATATTTATAAATTTAGGTAAATATGCGAATTTTCATTTATTCCCAATATTCAATTTGAGTTTCAAAGCGACTCCTTCGTGTCCCGAAAGAGATCTATACGCCAAAATGTTCCTTGGACCTTCCTCTACAAGATCCAAATTCTATCAAAGGCTCATCGAGGCTCCTCTCGGATTGCGACGCGTCGAAAGCTAGCTCTGTTCGTCATTTCGCCGCGCCGCCGCAACGACAGGTGGCGCTGTTGACGCTGCTGCTTGCGCGCGCCACTGCCACCGCGTCGCCGCAAAAATCAGGAAGTCACGCACGCATATCTCTGCAAGTTTCTAGGGTATAAGATTTGCATGCAGTGACTGGACTGGACACTGGACAGGTATGTTTGAGTGTTAACGTGAGACATATCCGTGCGTACTCGCTCTGCCATCGCATCAGACAAGTATCATTAGACAAGTTAAAACTTTCTGTGCAGTGCTGTGGTTCAGTTTATCTTAGTGTGTCTAGCGATGGCATGTGTAACCCACTGTAAACACCTAAAAGTTTGTCTGAAAACGGCAAAAAGGTTAGAAAACACGAAGTTAGAAACACGGACTTTTTAAAAAAAATTCAGGCTGTTACGGTTGTTACGGATATTACGCATGTTACGCAGGAGTTTGGGGGTGAGGGTGGAGACTTGTGGGGATTCTATTAGCCTTGCACTTCCTGTTCGACAAATTTTACATGGGATGTTACTGTTTTGTAGGGTAGCTAGGACATGACCCAAGTTTCTCGCCTGGAGCTGTACCAAATTACTTTTGTTGTTATTATTTACTTTTTTGTTGATTTCATTTTGTTTTTATGTTTTTCCTTGCGACGAACTTATTTCGACTAGTCCTTGGCTACCAAGTTAATAATGTGGTGTTAAAATAAATTTATGAACACTTTTTGGTCTTATTTGATGAAACCCGTCCTCTGAAAATTTAGGCACATAGTCAGATCGATAGAGCAGCGGCTCAAGACGAATCGATTGGTACTGGTTTGACTGCTGTAGCACCATCCGTTCGGCCACAGTCGAATTAAATGTCACATTTCGCTCCCTCAGCCCACTGTGCCCAGCCTCAACAACTTAAACAGTGACAAGGGTCAAGATCGTGTTATCTGTAGATGAAGCAACTCTATCTAGAATGAAGGGGGGTCTGGGGGCGGAGCCCCCCTGCATGCAACAAGGTAGAAGTAACCGAGGTGGACGAGCCATTACCTGCCGAAGGCAGGCTAGCGCCGCAGGCCAAGGTAGGTACGCCAGGCGTGGATTGGAGGAACAGGCAGCGAGACATCGCGAAGCCTGTTACGACAAGACGCGGTCTAGCGTAAACCTACCTTGTACCCTAACTAAGAAGCCCAGACCAACTGCAAGTTTGAGTGTTCGCAGTGGCCTGTATGTTGTGGTGAGACTGGCAAAAAATAGGTATATAGCAATGGTGACAGATGTATACGCTGAAGAATTGGAAATTGACGTGTCCCTATTAATGCCAAAGCTTCCTGCTAAGGAATTTAAGTGGCCTGAAGAAATAAAGAGTGCAACCATCCCTATGCCTCATGTACTCTGTGATTTAGTTTTAGAGGACAATAATGAAAAACTTGTGCTATCCCTCAGTGATGAAGAGAAGCTGTATTCTTTGAGAATCATGAAAAGACCTCGCCAATAATCATTCTTATAAATATTTCAACATTGCTGCACTCTTCTCGCAGAACTGGCAAAAGGTCTTTTTACATTTATACTGCATTGTATGTAACCCATATTTAGTTGAAGTTGGGAAATTTTACTGTAACATATTTTTGTGTGCTATTATCTTACATATTTGTTGGGATAGAGAACATTAACATGGGGAATTTTTGATCTCATTTATGCTATATGATTGTCAAAGTTATTTCTTAAATAAATTCCATCAGTTTTGCTGTAATCTTCTGAAGTTAATTCAATTTCACTGAAAGCATCTGAAACCAAGAACACCTACCAAACACAAAAAAGATGAGAGCTCCACTGGGACAAACTCCTGCCAACGGGTAATGTAGGGCTCTAGCCCCTGCGCGTCGCTGGATAGGCAACCCGTCACGCGCGCCTGCTTGACGGGTCTGCCTATTCTGGATCCTCACAGGCGCTGAAGTGCTGCGCATTCGATTCCAAGGTTTTGCATCGCGGCGTTCGCACCACGTGACTCTGGATAGTAAGGGACATTGCCGATGGGATGCTAGAAGAAAATACAGTCCTTCGGAGTCAAAAAGCGTAAAAAATTGAAAGGAAAAAAAATGCTCAACTTTGAAAGTCTGCCATTTCTAAACGGTTTGTCGGAAAAATATGGGATTGCGCTCATTGGATTCCTTGGTTCATTCTCTAAAGTAAAGACCCCCCGGGAACCCTCTCAGAAGAATTTTTGACCGTTTCCCCAAGATTTGGGACTTTTTTGGTAACTGTTCGCAGTTTTTTGCCAATATCTCCTGAATTATGGGTCGTAGCTCAATTCCGGACCCAGATTTGGATTCCTTGGCTCATTTTACGTCTGGAAAACCCTATCTCAGCTTCCTGGTGCAAAAACTGTAGAAAAATTAAAAAAGTCCCAAATTTAAGTCAAAAAACTCAAAAATATAGAAAAACGGCTATAGATTGGTCAATAAATTTTTGCCGGATCTGCTACTCCGGCTTTTGGCATCTCTCTAGGGTACTAAAACACCCACCAAAAATGAGCCAAATCGGAGAGGTGAAATCCAACTCTGTCACCTCTTATATATTCTATTGCTCAAGGTAAGAAAAAAACTGCGCTAGGAGAAAAAAAAGTCTAGAGATAGTATGCAATTAGTCTAGTAATCAATTTGGCCGGACCGTCCGCACCTGAACAACGGGTCATTTGTTCTTATTTTCCGGAAGGGGTGTATCTGAAGTCATATAAAAGAATAACTTCAAACAGTCCGTCTTTACTTCTTTTCTTTCACACTTTATTTCTCCACACTATAAAACGGAAATTTTCAGACAGTGGTAAGGGCAAAAAGGAAGGTTCAGTGCATCCAAGACCTGCCCGTGGATACACACCTGAGGCCCTGATCAGGTCGCTCTGTCTTCATTCGCAGTATCGGGCGATGGCGGATGGGTAGGTGTCGGCGCTGGAGTTCGGGTGAAATGGACCACGAAACAGGGACGCGAGGAAAGGTGCCTAATCCACAGGCGTTGGCGCGTTGCAGCCTGACCGGCTGAACAGTCTGGCCCCTTTTCCACCGAAATACCACGATCTCTCCCGCAAAGGAGGCCGTCGCTACCAGGAGGCCGGCCATCCAGACCTCGAAGCACACCCACACCTTGGCCAAGTCCAGCGCTACGACACTCGGCTGCGCTCGCTCTGCCCTCATTCTTCGGAAAGCGTAAAGGCGGGTGTCCATTTTGTTTTGAAATTGGTTCACAACGGCGGGGTAAATACCAGCGGCCCTAAATCGGGCAAGTGTCACCCGAAAGCTTTTACCTTGCCCCTTCTTTGCCATGAACTGGCTACAAACGGCTTTTCCGGGAAGGGTGAACTGGTGAACGCGACCCAATGACGCCAAATCAGGAGCAGTGAATAAAAGAGCAATCCTTGAAAGTACAAGTGCAGCACTCCTGTTCGCAACGGCAGCCAAAGCTTCTTCAGGTGAAGCCACGGAGACAGTCATCCTCTCGCCCAGTGCGTCAAATACAAATCTATTATCCACTGCCAACCCAGGCTGAGCGTAGACAGTAAGGTTTGATTCTGCCAGTTCCTCTAAAGTTTGGATTTCGCCACCGGCGCAGTTGCCGAGAAGACCAGCGAGTAGTTTTCCGGTGTATGCCGACGAAAGAACGAGGCAGACAAGCAGCCATCCTCCCAGCAACGGACGTCGCGCATCCCTCCCGACCGGTGATCCAGACTGGCTGAAGAGAGGGGCCAGCGCGTCCAGGAAGGCTCTGGAGCGCCCGCTGAGAACTAGCAGGAAGGTGGCAACTCCAAGGACGGACAGCGCTGTGGCGACCCAGAGCGCCGCTGAAAACTCTCCAGTGATGCCATGGACGAGGCATTTGCCTTTCCCCATACCGGCAGGCACCAAGACCACCATGCTATCCATGGCCCAGGGGAAAGCATCGAACTTGCCATCGCTATGCACTTGGAACGGAATTTCCATGCTCAAAAAGTCGGCACGGCAGAGTCTACCAATGTCGTCCCAACGAGCCGTCCTTATCAGCTGCAATCTCACGTTTGCATGTTTCTGGGCAACGGTCTCTGCGTATCGTTTCATCATGGACTGGAACACATTGGCCTCCAGAGCAGTGTGGACCATCGTGGCTTTGCGCGACGCGTTGCCATGGAAGTAGCATGGCGGCAAGAAGGGCGCGTGTCCTGGAACCCAAACCCGTGCAGGCTGTACTCCCTCCGGAAACTCAAAGGACCCTTCGTAAACGGTCAAGCCTGAACCGGTGTCCGATGCCAGTCCGACCAGGAGCGTTATCGGCGTCGGAAAAAATATTCTATAAAGCGATGCGATTTTGTTCAGATCTGTCTGAGTCCAGGCAGATTTGTATTCTGTCCAAAGCAGAATGCGACATTCCAAGGGCTCTTCTACAAGTAAAAGTAAGGCTTCCAAGTCGGTTGCATTGTTCTCGGCGACTAGAAGGATTGCGCTCGGCAGACACAGAGTATTCCGTGTCGAAGGTGACGGCCACGGGCCTCTTGGCCTTGCCAGCAGGACCAGCGACGCAGCCCCGTGCAGTTGCAAGAAAGCGTCGAGCCACCGCGGCCGTCCCGCGATGACCAACTGCGGGGAGTGAGGTCCGGTGCGAAGCAGGGCCGGCTCGAGCAGGCTGAGGATGTTCTGCGCGACGTCCAAGGCCGTGTCCCTCCTTGCCACACTCCAGCTCGCAGGCAGTGCTTCGGCGGGTGCCAAGAGCACCAGGGCGAGCACGGCGACACAGGTCACTCCACGCGGGCTGGCCATCGTGGACTGAACGGCGCTTCGAGGCGACCTCGCTTTTCTCCGCGAGGGCAAACACACCTTTGCCGCGCAATTGAAAGGCCACCATTCCTCCGACGGTCTTTTCAAAAGTGATTCCTTGGAGCGACAGCGTTTTATTGATCTCCGCGCCGAGCATTCACTGAGTTCCAAAATAGAACGACTTCCTTTTGGACGGATGACGGATGGGGTCTGCCCTTTGACCTTCTTTCAGCAGGTGTGTGTAGGCTGGACCGTGCCTTGTGGCAGGCTTCGCGATGCCGCGGGAGTGGCGATAACGCTTGCCTTTGTGTTCACACGGTAAATCCGGCTCCTGGGACTCCATGGAACATTGGCCAATTTCCAGGACGGACCCTGGAAGTTAGGTTGAGCCAAGTACTAGACACAACCGAACAGTTTCAGGCAGAATTTGACGGGAAAAATCCTTATAAACCTTCTTGCAGAAAAAATGGGTTTTAAACGGGTAAAAAACCGTTTATGCTTATCGATGGACCCTATGAACAAAGACCGATGTCCTTTGAGTCGCTCGAACAAAGTCCGATCTCCTTTGGGTTGCTCGAACAGAGACCGATCTCCGTTTCCTACAGAACAATCTCCACGTTTTGATTCCACACAAATGAGTTTTAGATAATCATTCTCTCATATGTTTGGAACAAAACCTTCAAACCATTGTTTGAGTTGGATATCTGTTGCGAGAACTACAAGATCAAGAAGCGGCGAATGCAGAAACGGCCGAAATGGAGATCGGTCTTTGTTTGAGCGACCCAAAAGACATCGGTCTTTGTTCATAGGACCCATCGCTGGTATTCAAAATCGTCTCAGGACAAAACGCAACAAATAGGGGTTATTATTCTTCGGTCTAGAATCGATTTCTGAGTGGAATTGGACAATCGGAAAAACTTCGTTTTTTTTGGTCATCCTACCCCACTATGAATGTTTAAATTGTTCTAGAAAAGCCATAATGACCGGCCTACTTTCCGTTCCTCACTGTTGGCACAGCATTCCTAGTATGGACTCGGAATGATTTCGAAGTCGACGTACGCACAGAACCATACAGGTGATTTTGGATCTTGTCGGGCCTGGACGTGTACTCGGTCGCGAGCGTAGACCAATATTGGAAAGTTCGGAAGTGTCAAGTTGAGGGGCCCGGTCACGTGGAAGTCACCCTGGAAGAAAATGAACGGACAAGTGTGGATTTCAGAGCCCTCGCTCTCTTGAGCCCCTAGAGCAGAGATTTTGAGCTATTGCGGTGAGATTTAGCGTGTTAGCTCCTACAACATGCCGCTTTTGTGGGTAGCAAAATAAATTCCATTGGTCATTTTTATCATCTTTTAACAGTCAAACTTGCACAAGCTCTTTAATTCAATTGGGATTCACAAAATACAACTGAATATGAATTTTTTAATCTTTCTGAGGTACCGACCATAGCCAGACATCTCGGGAAGGCTGTTACAAAATTTCGCTGTTCTAGGTCAAACCGTTTGGCGTCCAGCGCTGGGACAGTGCGGAAAAGTCTTCCAACACTCACACACAAAAAAAAAACGTTTTCACCCAAAGCGCTGAACTGCCTAGGCGGATTAACTTCATTTGGTCTATTACAAAATGAGTTAAAAATGTGAACAATTAATCGCATTTTGTAAGGGCGTGCTAACTTAACATCAGGGATCCTTAACTTACCTCTGTGAAGGTGGCCTGACCCATCAATCCCGCCCAAGTCCGACCGTATGTTTTTGATTGTTTTTCGTTTGTTTAGGTTTGTTTAGCGTTTGTTTTGCTTCTGGATTGTATCCCGACCCGGATTTCAAGGACCCCCAAATCGCCGAAGAAGTTGGCCCGACCCACTTTAACCGTGAGTCCTAACTTAACGCCGGTTTGTTATTTCGACTCGAAATCGTTAGTTTACGTTTGTTTTGCCAAAAGTTTAGCTCTCGGAAGAGCCAGTTTGGTCATAGAAGCACGGTTCCTATACGTAAAAACAGTGGGTCGGGCCAGATACCCAACGTGTGGTTATCATCAGATGCGAAGTACCAAACCTTGAATTCAGGTTAAGAGCGATCTGTTTCGTTAAGTTTTGCCCTAAGATGTACAACTTTTACGTTGAAAGTGCATTTCTCCATTATTTAGAATTCGTGGTTCGGGCCACGTTACCCAATTAAAGTTACAATCAAGCGCGGAGTGCCAAACCTTAATCTTAGGTTCAAGACGGTGAGTTTCGAAAAGTTTTGCCCTAAAATGAACTACTTTTACGTCCACAGTGATTTCGTTTTCAATTTCAAAATCGTGGGTTGGGCCAGGTTACCAACTTGTTGTTATACTCACACGCAAAGTACCAAACCTGTTATTTAGGTTAAGAACGATCAGTTTCGATAAGTTTTGCCCTCAAATGCACAACTTAAACGTATACAGTGTCTTTTTTCTTTATGTCAAAATCGTGGGTGGGGCCAGGTTACCAACTTGTAGTTATAATCACACGCGAAGTACCAAACCCGTAATTTAGGTTAAGAACGATGAGTTTCGATAAGTTTGGCCCTAAAATGCTTAACTTTTTCCTCCACAGCGATTTTTTTCTTTATTTCAAAATCGTGGGTGGGGCCAGGTTACCAACATGTACTTTCAATCAATCGCGAAGTACCAAACCGTAAATTTAACATAAGAACGGTAAGTTTTGATAAGTTTTGCCCTGCGATGCACAACTTCTACGTCCACGGTGACTTGTTTTTAAATTTCAAGGTCGTGGGTTAGGCCAGGTTACCAACTTGCAGTTATTATCACACGCGAAGTACCAAACCTTTAAGTTTGGTTAAGAGCGATAAGTTTCGATAGGTTTTGCCTAAAAATGCACTACTTTTACGTCCACAGTGAAATTTGTTAATTTACGAAATCGTGGGTTGGGCCAGGTTACCAACTTGTACTTATAATCAAACGCGAATTCGTAAACCTTACATTGAGGTTAAGCTCCATAAGTTTCGATAAGTTTTGCCCTGTGATGCACAACTTCTACGTCCACGGTGACTTTTTTTTAAATTTCAAGGTCGTGGGTTAGGCCAGGTTACCAACTTGCAGTTGTTATCACACGCGAAGTACCAAACCTTTCAGTTTGGTTAAGAGCGATAAGTTACGATAGGTTTTGCCTAAAAATGAACTACTTTTACGTCCACAGTGAAATTTGTGAATTTACGAAATCGTGGGTTGGGCCAGGTTACCAACTTGTTGTTATAATCACACGCGAAGTACCAAACCTGTTATTTAGGTTAAGAACGATCAGTTTCGATAAGTTTGGCCCTAAAATGCTTAACTTTTTCCTCCACAGCGATTTTGTTCTTTATTTCAAAATTGTGGGTGGGGCCAGGTTACCAACCTGTACTTTTAATCAATCGCGAAGTACCAAACCGTAAATTTAACATAAGAACGGTAAGTTTTGATAAGTTTTGCCCTGCGATGCACAACTTCTACGTCCACGGTGACTTTTTTTTAAATTTCAAGGTCGTGGGTTAGGCCAGGTTACCAACTTGCAGTTGTTATCACACGCGAAGTACCAAACCTTTAAGTTTGGTTAAGAGCGATAAGTTTCGATAGGTTTTGCCTAAAAATGAACTACTTTTTCGTCCACAGTGATTTCTTTTTCAATTTCAAAATCGTGGGTTGGGCGAGGTTATCAACGGGTAGTTTTAATAAAACGCGAAGTACCAAACTTTGCATTGAGGCTAAGAACGATAAGTTTCGATCCCTCAGATGAAAAATTTTTACGTCTACGGTGATTCTTTTTTTTATTTCAAGGTCGTGGGTTGGGCCAGGTTACTAACTTGTAGTTATAATCACACGCGATGTACCAATCATGTAATTTCGGTTAATAACGATCTGTTTCTTTAAGTTTTGCCCAAAGATGTACAGCTTTCACGTTGAAAGTGCATTTATCCTCTATTTAGAATCCGTGGTTCGGGGCACGTTACCCAATTAAAGTCACAATAAAGCGCGGAGTGCCAATCCTTACATTGAGGCTGAGAACGATAAGTTTCGATAAGTTTTCCTCAAAGATGCACAACTTTTACGACTACGGTGGTTTTTTTTTTAAATTTCAAGGTCGTGGGTTAGGCCAGGTTACCAACTTGTAGTTTTGATCAAACGCGATGTACTAAACCTTACATTGAGGCTAAGAACGATAAGTTTCGATAAGTTTTGCCCTGAGATGCACAAGTTTTACGTCTACGTAAATTGTTTTTAAATTTCAAGGTCGTGGGTTGGGCCGGGTTTTCAACTTGTAGTTTTGATCAAACGCGAAGTACCAAACCTAAAATTGAGGTTGAGAACGATAAGTTTCGATAAGTTTTGCCCTAAAATGAACAACTTTTACGTCCACAGTGAACGCCAAGTACCATAACTTACATTGAGGCTAAGAACGATAAGTTTCGATAAGTTTTGCCCTGAGATGCACAACTTTTCCGTCTAGAGTAATTTTTCTTAATCTCAAGGTCGTGGGTTGGGCCGGGTTACCAACTGGTAGTTATAATTACACGCGATGTACAAAACATGTAATTTTGGTTAAGAACGATTTGTTTCTTTAAGATTTGCCCTAACATGTACAGCCTTTACGTTGAAAGTGCATTTCTCCTTTATTTAGAATACGTGGTTCGGGCCACGTTATCCAATTGAAATTACAATCAAGCGCGGAGTGCCTGAAAACTAAATTTAATTTAAGAACGGTAAGTTTTGATAAGTTTTGCCCTAAGATGCACATAGATAAGTTTTGCCCTAAGATGCACATATTCAACGTTTTTAGTGATTTTGTCTTTGTTTCAAAATTGTGGGTTGGGCCAGGTTACCAACTTGGCGTTATAATTTCACGCGATGTACCAAACATGTAAATTTGGTTAATAACAGTAAGTTTTGTTAAGTTTTGCCCTCAGATGCACAACATTTACGACCTCAGTGTTTTACTCGGTCTTTACACACCACTCACTAACATACAAAACTCTACGTGAAGAGAACGAGTATTGTGTTCAAAAATGAGTTTTGGGGGGACATCTTTCATCTCAGATCTCACAGCATGTGGGAAAATGAGAGTGGTACCAAATGAAAGATGGAGTGTCAGTCGCTTGATTGTAAATGAAGTTTTTCTTTACTTGCGATGAGAAATATTGAGAAAATGAACACGAAAGAGAGACGTTTTTAGTGCACTATGTGAAACTAACCTCTTTTTACGTGTCTGTATCTTTTGATGTTGAACGCAACTGAAACGCAAAGTACAACAATAATGACACGAGATCTTTGGTCAACAGAAATCTAGGAGGGTTTTTTGCAAGTGACAATGGATAATTTTGATAAATTTGGTAATAACGAAACATTGTTTGACCCTAACTATGATACATGTCTCAGAACTGCAAGCTGTGTCATCTTAATGAATTTCTTTTTGATGGTGTTGCACGTCTTATGTTCGAGATGAGAGATGAAATAATAAGTTTCATTCGACTGTTTTCTAAAATAAATGTGTCCTTCTGAGGGTTTTGGTCATGGAAAAAGCAGGTTTTTGGCACGGACTCACGGAATCTAGTGTAAATTCGATTATGCACGAGAATCGATATCTCGAGATATCGCGATGCATGGATGTTCCCTGCCTGAGAGGAGAACCAACCGGAAGCGTTCGTTAAAAGGCAAAATTACAAATCGTCAGAGGACAATTCATGTAACGATCAGCGACTGACACATCAATCTAGCTTTGTAAAGAACGAGTCCCTCCCATGTGATATCAATTCTTTGATGTCTTTCCTTCTTGTTTTTCTTTATTCGTGGGTCGGGCCATGATACCAACTTGTTTTTATAATCAAGTGCGAAGTATCAAACCTTAAATATGGGGCATAAACGATAAGTTGTGCATTAAGATGCACATCCTTTGCACCGGAGTAGTTTTGAGACGCATAAACAAGATGCTATACCGAATTTACCACCAGAGCTAAGTTTTTTTACAGAATAAAAAATAAAATAACTTTCCCTGGCAAAAATGGCATAAATACCACGCTGCATCGGAAAAGTATGCTACAAATCCAAAATCTGGTGTAGTGTCTTGCACGTCTTTGTTAACTTGTCAAATTTTCTAGCTGATACGTGCAAACAGTGTTCGTGAGGAGTATTTGGGCAATCGCCCCGAAATAACTCGTTTTTTGTTAGTTAT